CGTTTAGGCTGTTCATTTAACTATTATACGTGATGTACGTTTTTTTTGGGGGGGGGTTAATGAAAGTGTTTCAAAACGCGACATTAGGGACAAAACGCGACCAGGTGGTTAGGGAACTCAACTCGCAATCCGCGGGTTCGAATCCCTGTTTCACCAAATATGCTCGCCCTTTCAGACTTAGGGGCGTTATATTGCATAGTCGCAGATTCTGTATGACGATGCCAGTATTTCATAAAGCTTTCATGTCAGTAGGACACTGTTACGATAGCTGATCTCATAAAAGGTATATATTATTCAACATTTGTTATTTGGTTTAAAGGTGGAACTAATTTTACTTTTTTTCACTAGGTGTCGCGAATGCCCTATGCCATTTTTCAGAAGAGAATATTTTGATGGTAAATGTAGCTGTGATTGTTTCGATCATCAGAAACCTTGTATTCGAATAAAACGAGGTCGAAATTCACTGTCTAATACTGAGAAAAGGTAAGTAGTTCTCAAGTTGAAATATTTATATCATCATCATTAATCTTGAACCACTTCAGCACAACAGTGTGAAAAATGACACAAAGATCTTCACCGGCCAATATTTAACCTCTTTCACAGCATAGAATATGTGTATAAGAATACATCAAACTTTCACAGCCAATCTTTAACTCTCTTCCGCATAAACAAATTGTTTCAGCCAAACTTTAACCGTTTTTCATACACTAGAAAAAGTGGATAATGACCCTAACATTTTTTAGCCAATCTTTAACCTCTTTCACGCACTAGAACAAGTGAATATCGACAACAAATTGTTTCAGCCAACCTTTAACCTCTTTCACACATTAGAACAAGTGAACAATGACCCCACAAACTTTGTCAGCTAATCTCTAACCTCTTTCACACATTAGAACAAGTGAACAATGACCCCACAAACTTTGTCAGCTAATCTGTAACCTCTTTCACGCATTAGAACAAGTGAACAATGACCCCACAAACTTTGTCAGCTAATCTCTAACCTCTTTCACACATTAGAACAAGTGAACAATGATCCCACAGACTTTGTCAGCCAATCTTTAAACTTTTTTCACACCGAAACAAACGAAAAACATAAAATAAAATAAGCGTTGTAAGCCCATACTGGAGTATTCTTCTTTTTTATAATATTGAAGATACAAATAACTGGCTATTTGGATCACTGAGTATACGAAATTGTATCTAAGGCTTTTCAAAAGTTTGTGGAGGTGTAATGTACCACAGAAATGTTGAACAAAGCCAATAATTCTGACATTGATATTATGTGATTTGAACACGATATTTCTTTCTAGTTTCAGTCGTTAGTATTGAATTAGGAATTGCATTATTTTACATGACCTTTGGAATTACATTATTTTACATAACCTTTGGAATTACATTATTTTACATAACCTTTGGTATTACATTATTTTACATGACCTTTGGTATTACATTATTTTACATGACCTTTGGAATTACATCATTTAACTTGACCTTTTTTAGTTACTCGCTATATCAGTTTTTTAAAACAGAAAATTGTTAAGCTGTAATTTGTATTATTTTAAATTTGTTTTAACATTCATCATAAGATAATACAGTTCAAGTTTTAACATTCATCATATGATAATACAGTTCAAGTTTTAGCATTCATCATATGATAATACAATTCAAGTTTTAGCATTCATCATATGATAATACAGTTTAAAGAAATTAGATGTACTTGCCAAAGTTAAAACATAATCAATTATATGAAATAGATTTTCTTGTCATGTTTAACTTTTGATTTCTTTATATTTCAGGTGTGTTCGAACTGGTCAGTGTCAGGTCCCTGAGTGTGAGTATGGTCACTACAACTTTACAAGAGGAAAATGCCCTGGACGACCTTGGAATTATAGGAAAAGAAATGATGGCCGTAAAGAGAAGAGCAAAAAACATCATCCATATCATAGATGGTCATTTTACGAGCGTGATTAATTTAGTAAAATTCAAATGTGCTTCGGTAAAAGCAATGAATAAAAGCTTCTATTATACGAAATAGGATATATAGATGAAGTTTATCTTTTAAATCGATGGACGCTGAAAAATACATTAATTGATAACCCAGCTGACGACTTTCACAAAGAGAGGACGCATTTTCGCTCACTAAGGATAATAAAGAATGTCAAGGGAAGGATGATTTTAATGAAATTCAGATATTCTTACCAAACAAAAAAAATTACCTTTTTTTCTTAATTTGCGTCTTTATGTATATGCGTGCATGGTTATTGATTAACTTCATAATAATCTGACTGAAAGCTCAGTTTATCCTGCAATATATTAGCTCTTCATATCAACAAGTTCCTCTTCTTCTCTCCTGAAAAGAATATATTTGTTTATATTATACGTTTTTGCTTGACAATTGTGACGATCTCTAATAAATGAACAATTATTCTGTATCATTTCTTTGTTTTTCATTTTACATTAACTTATGTCATTATGTCTATCTGGATGTGACTGATTTTCATTAAATACGTGCCAATAAACTCTCTCATATCCAATGAAATTAGAATTGACACCTGCTTCGGTTGATCCACATTTAAGCATCATAAATGAATAACTAAGAATTCAAATGTTTTAAAGATTTTTTGGTGGTCTGAAACATTTCTAGTACATTTACTGTAAGCTTCAGTACAGACTGCATCTTTATTTATTAGTATAAAGCAATCTAAAAACGTAACGCGCAAGTATGCATTCAAGAACATTTGTATCTCATATGGAAATATACAAATATACCGAAAACAAATGAAGTATGCAAAATGAAAAACACAACATTAGAATATCGTGATATAAAAAACATACACACACGTATATATATATATATATATATAGAGAGAGAGAGAGAATTTTAGAAGAACTACCAGCAATATAACAATATAAGCGTAATATGTTTTAATACTCATGTTTCCTTATACAGAGGGTGTGTTACAAATCTAACTCTGCTCCCCTTGACAATACAAATCAATATGAAAATAACAAGGTAAAGTTTAGCCTCTTGTAACAGCCAGTTTATACAGTCCAAAATTTATAAACGAAGAATGTCGTCGAAAGCTATATGATACGTTTGGTTCATGCTGACTATACCACGATAAATTAGCTGTAAGTAGCTATATGGCAGCCGTGTTCAAACATAATGTCTTTAAAAAATCAAACTATTAAACGTATATATATAAAACACCTAAATAAATATTTTATAGATCTTAAATGCTTGAAATAGTTATCAGCCTGTTAAAAATTTCGTATTCATGAGTCTTGTCACGACGTAATGAGCTATGTATAAAATTGCATTTCTACGGTCCCGTTGCCGCAAAAACGCATTACGCATTTTAGGGCTGTGGGTGCATTATATGATTAACAGTCAAATCTCACTCTTAGATTAAATTAGCCTACGAGTTAGCGGTAGCTGCTGTTGACTAGTTAGCTGTCTTTTCTCTAATCTATCAGTTCAACGACGACCATGTGCTTTGTGCGAAAATTCTAAATATGAAACAGAAAATGCTAAATTAGAAAGTAAAAAAAATCTTGTTAATTTTGCTAAAAGCAACATCTTTTAAGTAGAGCCAATTTACAATCTACAAAACTAAAATAATTCTATAAGAATTTTTGTTCTTGTTTTAGTAAGCACTATTTAAGAATTTTAATAACCAGAATTTTGTAAAATTAAAAATTATTTTGCGAATCAAAAAAAGTGTTCAAAGGGGGGCAACTGCCCAGGGCGAATGAAACCTGAGTATGTCGTAAAGCCCGCAAAACACCTTTAGGCTATACCTTCATTTAATCATAAAAAGCCTAGTTTGGCTTTTCTTTGCATATGGACGCTTGATACATTAAGAATGATTGAAATAATAATTTGAGTAATAATTAATATATAGTTGTTACTTTATAGATTTAATACATATTTGTTGTCACTTTATTAACGTTTTTACACTTATACTGTGAGCTAAAAACGGCTGTTGCTATGATTTTGTCTTGTTTATGATCTCGTTGCTGTCCTAATTTAGGATTTTTTTTAGAAAGTTCTTAAAAGTGTTTAAAAAGAGAAAGAGAGAGGGCGTGGAGAGGATGTATGCCCCTGGGCTTGTGTTGGCTCTTGACGCTCCTGGTTCAAAGAGTTTGGTAATTAAAGAATAGGTTAAACAATCGTAAAGTTTTTTATATTTTTATTTCAAGAGGATGATGTTTTGAGCTAGCGCTCTTCATCAGATCGTACAGCTTACAACAAAGGCGCATGCGTAGGATTTAAAAAACTTGCGTGCGTAGCATTTCGAACGTTGAGCGTGAACTTTTTCCGTAAAATTACATCTTATACATAAATATTACAAGTCAGGAAAAGATAAAACAGATTGAAATTAAAATATGGAAACAAAAGATTTTATTTAACCCAGATGGTTGTAGGGTTCCTAGATTGTAGATTAATCTTCTTTCCAGTCGTTATCTTTCGTGAATGTCTGTTGGAGCATTGATAAGTCCCACAATCAAATAGTCCTCAACTGAATGGGTGTTGCTGATGAAATGTTTACGTATAGGTGTATCTTGGTTCCGCAGTTTAATATAGTTTAGATATTCTCGTGCTCGATCACCGAGTCGGCGGCCTGTCTTGAAAATTATGCAGTAAATGATACATTCAGTGACATATATAAGGGATTGTCTTATGTTGAAAGTTATGTTTTTCCTCGTATATATGTGGTGCTGTTTATACGTGGACAGGTGACACACTTGTTTCGTTTAAATATGCTACGCACTCATTTTTTTTTAATCCTATGCATGTACCTTTGATGTAAGCTGTACGATCCTGACAATGAGCGCTAGCTCGAAGTGTCATCCTCTAAAAAATTCCTCTACAAATAAAGATAAGAAAAACTTGTCGACTGTTTAACTTATTCTTTAATTTCGATATATTTGTCGCCTATGCGATTAACTATATATTTCTTTTTTATAAATCAAAGTATTTGGTAATACAATGTAGAAATCTAAATTAACGTTGTTTCACAATCCTGACAATCCAAAAAAGTATAAAATAGTCTTGTAAGCTACTCCTGAGGATGACGTAGATCACGTCGAAACATGTACTTGTAGAGCGATATTTTAAAGTGGAAGCCGTACGGCTTCAATAAAGTTTTTATTGTGTAAATATAAAACGTTGTTTTTAATTATTTATTATAATTTAAAAAATCCAAAAACTATATATGAAGACGTACACTGAAATCCTTTCAAAAATTACAATAAAAGTTACTAAAAAATGTTATGGATACCACTTTAGAACAAGTTTATTATATTCATTGTAAGTGTCTACTACCTTTTTTGTACGAATCGTTCAGTAAAGGTTAACAATGCTTAGTGACCAATAAGTTACATTCCCGTTGTTTTTCTCGTAAGTATACTCATTGTTGTGTTTTTAACGCACGTCCTCAAGCCCACTGTTGTGTTTCAAATCCATTTTTTGTTACAACGCACATTCTCAAACCTATTGTTGTGTTTCAACGCACATTCTCAAATCCATTGTTGTGTTATAACGCATATTCTCAAACCCATTGTTGTGTTTTAACGTACATCCTTTAACCCATTGTTGCGTTTTAACTCACAGTTTCAACTGTTCTATAGACGCAAGACTGTCTTTTACCTTTTGGCAGCGTCAGATTTAAGAGGGCCACAAATACTGAAATAAAGTACTAGCCAAAAGTACCCCATTCTACTGAACTTTTGAGACCTAGAGATTGAAAGGCTTGGTTTGTGTATGCAAGATTACTTCTAAATAAGAATTGTATTAGAGTGACATCTTTTATGGTGTATCATATTTCTCCTTCAATATACACATACTTGAGGTGTTGGTATACTTTGGTGACAGATTTTCTTGTAGGCAGATTTTGTTAAACAAGACC